AGAAATCTATACAAAGAGGGGAGACTGATGTGTCCAAGGGCACACAGCCAGGAACCGGTACAGCCTGGTCTGCAGGTTTCTAGGGGGTAGGGGCAGGAATTCTATAAAAAGGTCCAGCAGGTGGTTGGCTGTACAAATCTGAGGTTGAAAAGACAAATCTAGGTTATGGAACTGGACGGAAAGTTACCACCACCCGAGTGGTAATTAAACCAGAGATGTGGGTGAGGCCAGAGAGAAATGGGGACTGAGAACGATCCTGAGAGACTGCGACATTTCTGGGGGGACCACACCGGGACAAGAAAGAATGGCCTAGAGACTGAGGAGAGTACAAGGGTGAAGTCTTAGGTGCAGAAGGCCAGGGATGCATTTTAGGAAGAAAGCCGGCAAATACAACATGGGGACTGAGGACAGAAAAACGTCCCCCAGGTACCTAGTATTTGAATCAAAACAAGTTAAGAAAACTAGGGTCTGATGATTCCTGCCCCTGGCGGTTAGAACTGTTAGACCACTGTTCTGGACACTGTTGTTCTAAACCACTCTTACTCTCGTAGACCTATGTGAATACCACGCTTTATGAGAAGTTCGCCTATGCTGGGATCGACTGCTCTGCTGAGGAAGCCGCCTAGAACAAGTCACACCCATCCGTACGTAATGTTGCCCCTTCCCTGGCCTGTCAGACCCTTGATGCCAAGAAAGCCAGCAAGACTCTGTCAAGAGAGGGGACACAGAATATACCAATGTGTATATATTGCCGTATGTCTGGGACGAGACCACAAAAACCCGTGCGTGTGAATCTGTAGGACCCTTCAACTCTACTAGGACTGTATATACCGTTTTGAGTAAGAATGTGCTGAACTCAGAATGCCTGTTTGTGGTTTCATATGCAATAATATATTTTTCTAAAAATATGGACTTTACAGGAAGGTGTGTGAGTACAATTACTATGATGCCTAACTCATTATCATTCTGGATTTTTTTTTGATATTTACCTTCATAGTGAATGTTGTAAAATGTTTTGCTGTATAGAAGAAAGATGTTAATAAATGTCACACCAACCCTGATGGCACCGGTGAGGAAAGTGGGGGAAGTAGGTTAGTTCTATCAGGACATAGTTGAACATTTAAAAGGGATTCTTCAATTCCTCAACTGTAGACGCCATTTCAATGTCATTTGCTCATTGGACCCTGCTGTCATGTGTGTCCAGAGCCTACAAGTCAATCCAGAGTGCTACCATCTAAAAAGGGACTCAACTCTCCTTCAGTGTGCATCTAAGGAACTTTAAAGAAGTACAAGTTTGGTAAATCAATGGGATTTAGTTTTAGTTTCTCTGGTGACACTGCTTTGTATATTTTAAGAAATCGAGTAGGATGCCTGGGGCTCTATTTGGAAGACATGCGACATTCATACCAACAGAACACCATGTACTGCACATTGTAAAGTTCCCGTGTTGATCAGCTGTGAGTCTGCAGTTTATATGGTAGGCACACATTGCCGTGAGATCTCATAGTAAGTGAATAAATGTCTTACGTACCTGTTTTTTGTCTGGGAGTGTTTCTCCTAGGTCATGCCTGATGTCAAGTTCCCGCCCTCCAACTGTGTCGGTGAGATGCCCGTAGTGCGGTGGGTGGGGACTCCAGCTGGCAGGACTGAAAACATCGAGAAGTGTTCGGGCGAGCCCATTTTCTTGTAGCAGCGCCCTGTGCCCCCAGTAGTGCGCCCATGTCCACTGAGGGCTTAGAACAGCAGTCTTTTTATTTTTTTTTAAGATTTTGACAGAGATCACAAGTAGGCAGAGAGGCAGGCAGAGAGAGAGGGGGAAGCAGGCTCCCTGCTGAGCAGCGAGCCAGATGCAGGGCTCGATCCCAGGACTCTGGGATCATGACCTGAGTCGAAGGCAGAGGCTTTAACCCACTGAGCCACCCAGGCGCCCCAGAACGTCAATCTCTTAACTGGGATAGTGTGAAATCGGTCGACACAGAGCATAAAGTTCCGTGTTCCTGCCACTTGGTCCACCTCGTGTGTTCAGAGACGACAGCAGGGCCCTTTGTTCCCAGCGTTCTCCAGTGGAGCGCGCACGCGCAAGGCTGCTGGCAGACAGTCAGCAGCTGGAAATGCGGGGAAGAGCCCTTGACAGGTCCAGGTATCTGCACTGGTTCCTTGGGCTTTTTACCACATGTTGTGGAGATAATTCTGACAGCCCCTGGTTTGAAAGTCCACGGAACTGAGCACGGAGGACCTGAAAATGCAGGTAATCCCTTCACTGCACATGGCATTGGAACAAACCTCCCCCCCAATAGTCTGACTTTCTTCATTACATAGTACTTAAATTCATAATGATCAAAATTTGTATTATTTTACTTTACATCAAGTACATGACAAGAGAGATGGCTGAGAAGTACCCGAGACAGCAAGAAAAAGAGGTTCAGGCATCACTGAGTTACTTGTAAGTCACAACACGAAGGCAGCCAAACTGACGTATGTTTGAGGGCATCTCCTCACAAGCAACCGTCAGAAGGTAGCAGGTGTACTTCCCACCGGAGGCCCTCCTGTTAACTGCTCTGACTCTCCTGTACTATCGGCAGTGAAACCTTTGTAATTTTGTAGCATGTTAGCAACATTAATACTGAAGATTCGTACTCAAGGGTAATCAAACTGAATCAGGTCAGGTACTTGCCCATGATGAGAAAGCAAGAAAGATGGAGCTAACCCCTCAAAGGAATGAGACAGTCTGGCACTGAGAACACAGGTTAGTGTGTTCAGAAGATCCCTAGGACACTGCCTGAAAAAAATAAGTTGTGAATTAAAATCCAGTCACAGTACACTAGTTAGAATACAAACATTACCCAACAGCCAAATGACCCAAAGCTTTATGTTAACAGAGTACACTGAAAAGTTTACATTTACTTTGTGAGGAAAATCTATTTATATATGAGACCGAAAAAAAATGTGTTAGGTAATGATAGTTTTTGGTATTTGGAGAGAAAGAAATGTACGTAACCAGAGACGTGACCCTTGAGGAGGTCACTGCTCAACTGTAAATCGTACTCCTTTGTAAACCTGTCACCCTAGATCCATCAAGAGGAGTCGAAAATTCAAAGCAACTTAATCCTCCCCATTAACCCCCCCCACCCCACTCACAACTTTAGCAATGAACTGTGGAAATTGAAGAAAAAGGTCAAGAAACTTCCTACTGTCATAGACCCAACTCGACTGCCAGCCGCAGAGGCGTCCCTGAAACCACACTGCAGGGATTTAAGATCTGCTCGGGCAGAGCGATCACTCCTTTCCTTTCAGGTCTTCTTTCACCTTTCAGAGAACCAGTTCCATCTAGGTGGCTGTATTTTCACTTGAACTATGACCTCCAAACATTACAGAATAGAAGACAATGTGTTAGACCCACAATGACTGCATCCATGATACTACCCACAGTGGTTCTCAAAACAAAGCCTTGAGTTCATGTTTATAAAAAATTAACACTTGGCACTTACCAACACATGATTCTGAATGCTTTGTAAAGATTATACATAAATCTAGATTAGCAAACACTCCCTTTTCCTATGGAGGCTCTCCCCACATTGTCACTGCCTTGCTGTGACAAGATAGCACATTGCTACATTCTCTGTAAACCCCTTCTCCAGAAAACAACAAAGAGGGAGGTATTAGTAAAAGATCTGGCAAAAAGCCAAACATAGACAGTGCTAGAAAAAGTGCAACTCTCTACACAGAGAATGACCGAAAATACAAGTGGATAAAATTTACCCCAAACATAAAGCCTACAGTTCTGATGAGAATAATAAATGATGTAGGAGGTTAAATGAGAAATCATATGATCACCATGTCTAAAATGGTATGGTATTTTTCATTTGTGTTATTCTGGAAAAATGGGGTACTATATGTTTATATAAGCTGTTTTTTGTTAAGTGACATATTTTCCTAAGGTTCAAGATAGTTTTCAATAGAACACATTACATTTGATAATAGAATATTGTGGGAATTTTTTGAGATATATTTTTAGCAAAACAGATAAAGACCCACTGTGAGGCAGCAGTAGTGTCTAACAGACGAAGAATCAAAGAATAAAGACCATAGGGTACAGCTGGTATGTTGTACAATTAATGACACGGTCAGAGGGCCTTCCCATGTCTTAGTTATCTTTTAGAAACACAGCACTGTAACAAATTTTAAAATAGGCAGAATTAGTTTTCTTAGAATTCTCTATTTTGCCAAAGAGGAGCCTACATGGGTATGCGTGAACGTACAGAGTAACCTCCCTTCCAAGGCAGATACTGCTCAACTGTGCATATGGCAATGCCACTAACAGGGTAGTTGTAGCTATACTCGATGTACTTGACTAACTTGTTTACTGTTGGGTGTATTTCATCAGAAAAAAACAAGATGTTATGAGAGCAAGATACACACTAAGCCAGTATAAGTCACATGCACATATGATGAAATCTATTGAATTTAAACAGTAGTTTTTCTAACACAACACACACAATTTACTCTGGGTGAGATGACCTGACCCCAGTACATTTTGGAATCTCATTTAATGAAAAGCTGGCATGAAAAGAGGTACCCAGCAAAATTTAGACTGGAATTAGTCCTCCACACCAATTGAAGTTTTATACATGAATTCCAAGACCAGGCAACTTGCTGAACAGCGACCTGGCCACCATTCTCTGTGGCCTGGCTGTTCTGATGCCTGGGGAAGATCCAGGATGACACCAGGCAGGGGGCATTTGAGTGGTGTCTACATACGCAGATGCTTTAGGGTTCTCCACCCTAGCAGGGAATCGGTAAAGAAAAACTTACCGTAAGCATTTCAGGGAGCAAAGCTTCTACCACGAATCCCATGGTTTGTTTACTCAAGTCAGACTTAGGATCCTGATATCAATCATGAGTGAACAGGCTCTTACCACAGTCCTGAATGATTCTCTGCAGGTGGTCAGCCACTAGACGCAAGGGATATTTTGTGAGGCAAACCTTGCCGATGAGGAAACAGAACCGTCTCGTCCACAACTGAAATAGGAATTAGCTGTCAAGTGAATGAGAAAATGCTATCAGAAGCTCTCCCCCAAAAATAACCACACTGATCGCTGCAAAGATCATTGTAGACGGAGAACTATGCTCCGCGGGCAAAGAACGTGAGGCAGCTGTGACCTGTCAGTCACTAAGCTCTCCACGTAGATTATCCAGTACAACTTGCAGACCAACCGAATGGGGTATTTTACTGTCCCTTTTATGATATTGGCCCTTGTTACAGCCCAGGGGACTGCAGCTCTGGGAGGTGAAGGACGGAGTTAGGAGGGTCCCGGGGAATCCAACACAAGCAGTCTGACTTGTGGATTCACTTTCCTGCTGGAAGCACCACCAGGGGGCAGCATGTGCAGACAGGTTCCAACCAAGACGGGTAGATGCAGAGCCACGCTCCTCACTCTGGGATGCCGCTGAAGGGGACACCCCTCAACTTAGCACGTGACCCATCACATATTAGTGTTTACGTGTCTGCGTCTGGGGAGGCGGCACGGACAAGGACCCTGTCCCATCTATGTCCAAGTTTTCTGTGCTTATACATGAAAGATGATGCATACATTTCCACTGAAGTTCATAAAGCAGAAAATAGGATAAAAAGCAGAGCAGTCAGATAACTGAGCGTCTAGAAAGTGAGGTACCAGTTTGGATTCTTGCGGAAGGGAGCTGTATTTTGAAAGGAGCATGGAAGAAGATGAGCTTCAAGTGTAATTTAGAGACTCACTGAAAAATGAGGAGTTGGAAAGTTAACAGTAAGCACCTAGTATGCCATGTTTAAGAAGTACTGTAAAATTTCCTTTAATGAGTCAACTACCAACCAGACACCAGTTCCTGTCTGTGGGGTATTGAGTAAATAAAAGATGGTGGTAGAAATAGAGGAAAATGGGAAAATCCATGAGTTATCTGGGCAGAAGAAACAGACTGATTACAGTGAAGAATCGTGACAGTTTAACATTTTCTGATCCAGGAGACCGGTGGAGTAGAATGGTTCCTGAAAAAGGAGAGACAGAGTCATGGTGAGAAGTTCAGTTTGAGCGGTGAGGTCTCTGGGCCACAGAAGGACATCCCTGGAATAACTTTCTCAAAGACAACTTAGGTCCATTCCCACCTCTCTTTCCGCATAGTTTGGTAGGTCTGGGTGCAGACACATCCCAGTCTTACCTGGCACATGCAAAGACAACACTGCTATGGGAAACAGATCTATACTTTGAATGCCAGGTGCTTTACAGAGAACGAGGTTGACATTCACCTATGAAATTTAAATAGCTATATTTGTATTCTTGCACTAAAGAAGAACTAGCCCTTCTCAGCAGGAAGGTAAGTCCTGGGGGTGGCTAAAACAAATAATCAGCAAATGTCTCCAAAGTTCAAGAGCTGTGCTATGCAAGTGATAGGCCACCAGTTGCATGTGGCTGTTTAAATTTAATAAAAATGAAAAAATCATCTTCTCAGTCACATTAGACCTACTATAAATGTTCAATAACCAAGTGTGGTTAGTGTCTACCATAGTAGGTAGTGGAAAATATAGAAAGTTCTATTGGATACCAGTGTTCTAGAACAGAGGTAGCCACCAACCTCTTCACAGTGTCAAGCTGTAAATATTTTGGGCTTGCAGACCAGTCTCTGTCGTAACTCTTTAACAATGCTGCTGTAGCATGAAAGCAGCCACAGAAAATACAGAGATGAATGGGGGCAGTGGGTCTAACAAAAATATTTGCAAAACTAGGTGGCCAGCACCAGCTGCAGTGTTTGGACTCCTGTTCTAGAGCAAAGAATAGATCATTTTAACCTGAAGTATATTAAGGGGTAGATTTTTCAAGTCTATCACGCCAAGAAAAATGAGCATGACATTTGATTTTGAGCCTACCCATTAGACCTACCTGGACTTAACACAAAAAAGTATCTCCAAGTAGGTGAATAAAATAACCTGTTAGATAAACTTAGTCTCACCCATTTGAATATTAAAGATAATATCAAACAATGATTTTGGTTTAATTCTAACTAATGGATTTTCTTTTTGATCTGGATGAGCCAAAGGACTTTAGCTGTTTTACACTGCTTCTGGTTTTTGATGGTTGGACTATATTATCAACATGGACAGCAATTCTTTCCTTCTTAGTTAACAGGGCAAATCAACCATCAATGATAAGGCAATAGTAAGGACTACCATCTTAACTCATACTGCTCTGTAAAAGTACGAGGCTGTAGTTCTTCACCTTAAGAGCATACAGACTCCATTCAAAGCTATGTCCAATTAGTACAGTGTCAGCACTGAACAGGTTCAACAAGGTGGCTTGGACATCCGGATCAATATTCTAGTGTTCCTCAGGTCATCTTCGACACCAGAAAACCTGCCCCAGTAAGACACACAATGCAAGAAGGCATCTTGCTGGATTTCATCTGTTAGAGTTAGAACACATCACTGACCCAACGTGACAAACATTCACTGAACAAAACAATGATCTTACTTATGATCATCAGCTATCCTTTACCAGATTATATTTATAAAATGTAATGTGGATTAATTAATGTAAAGCTGGGAGGGGGGAGACATTAGTTCACAGAGTTCCTTTGGACTCTCTTTGTATAATCTGAGTTTTAGTCCCCCATTTCAAGTAAGCCTCAAAGAGCCACCACAGAGAACAATATGGAAGTTCCTGAAAAAATTAAAATAGCATTACCATATGATACAGTAATTCCACCACTGGGTATTTACCCAAAGAAAACAAAACCACAATTTGAAAAAGATACATGCAACCCTATGTTTACTGCAGCCTTACTTGTAATAGCCAAGATATGGAAGCAACCTAGGTGTCCACTGGTGGATAAAGGTGTGGTACACACACACACACACACACACACACACACACACACACGAATGTTATGCAGCATTAAAAAAGAATGAGATCTTACCATTTATGACAACATGGATGGACCTAAAGGGTATTATGCTAAGTGAAATAAGTCAGACTGAGTTTTCAGTCACATGTGGAATAGACCTATAAAAATAGAGAGCTAATGGTTGCCGGAAGGAAGGGGGATGGGATGGCCAAAATGGGCAGATGGGAGTGGGAGATACATGCTTTTAGTTACAAAGTAAATTAAGTTCTGGGAATAAAAGGTATAGCATGAGGATTATAGTTTATATTTTAGTAGTGTTGTGTGGTGATACTTGTGAGCATAGAATAATGGAGAAATGTTGAATCACAGTCTTTTATACCTGAGACTAATGTCACATTGTGTGTTGACTATACTCAAATAATAAAAAATAATAAAGCCTAACTATGAAATATGGGTAGCATGGAAGAGTCCTAGGGAGAGGTCAGATAACCTAAGTTTGAACTATGCTATGACTCTACTACTTACTTATATATATTTTTTACTGTTTTATTTATTTAATTTTAACTTCAGGATAGTTAACATACAGTGTTACATTAGTTTCAGGTGGATGATATAGTGATTCAACAATTCTATACATTACTCAGTGCTCATCATGGTAAGTGTACTCCTACTCCCCTTCACCTCTCCCCCGTTGCCCCCCTTCCCTCTGGTAACCATTAGTTTGTTCTCCATAGTTAAGAGTCTGTTTATTGGTTTGTCTCTCTCTCCCTCTTTTCCCCCATGAGCACTAGTTTGGTTTCTTAAATTCCACATATGATTGAAACCATATGGTATTTGTCTTCCTCTGACTGACTTATTTCCCTTGGCATTATACTCTCTTGTTCCATCCATGTTGTTGCAAATGGCAAGATTTCATTCTTTTTTTATGGCTGAATTATACATACACACACACACACACACACACACACACACACACACCATCTTCTTTACAGTTACTATATTTGATTTTCAGAAAGTTACTTAACCTTCTGGTCTAGTCTTATCTGTAGAGTTAATTACCAATCTTAATGGCTTATGAGGACCAGTGAAATACATGCAGAAAACTCTCCAGTGGCTTCCATGAAGCCCATTCTAAATAACTGTCTAGAAGCATGGCTACTTCTATGCTTTACTGTGATTTAGGAGAAAGCCAAGAGATAAAAGTACCTATTTTTTTTTAAGATCTTATTTATATGACAGAGAGACAGCAAGAGAGGGAATACAAGCCAAGGGAGAGGGAAAAGAAGATTCCCTGCTGAGCAGAGAGCCCAATGCGGGCTCGATCTCAGGACCCTGGGATCATGACCTGAGCTGAAGGCAGATGCTTAACAACTGAGCTACCCAGGCACCTCTGGGAAGGTATTTTTAATTTAAAGTGTATATTGATATTATTGTCCTCTGTGGACAAAATATATATGGCTCAACTTTTATTTAACATAGTATAGGAAGTATTAGCTGGAGCAACAAGAACATGATTTTATATATAGACAATCCAAAGACTCCACCAAAAAACTGTTAGAACAAATGAGGTCAGTAAATTTGCAGGGTCCAAAAATCAATATACAAAAGTCTATTGCATGTTTATACATTAATAATGAAATTTCACTTAAAAATTAAGAAAATCCCATTTACAAGCATCAAAAAGAATAAAATACCTAGGAATAAATTTAATCGAGGAGGTAGAAGACCTGTACACTGAAAACTAAGACACTGATGAAAGAAATCAAAGGGGATACCAGTAAATGCAAAGATATTCCATGCTCATGGGTTGGAAGAACACTGTAAATATTGCCATACCACTCAAAGCAGTCTACACATCCAATGCAATCTGTATCAAAATTCTAATGGCATTTTCCAAAGAAATAGAACAAACGATTGTAAAAATTTGTATGGAACTACAAAAGATCCAGAATAGCTAAAGCAATCTTGAAAAAGAACAACAAAATTGGAGGCATCACACTTACTGATTTCAAGCAATATTACAAAGCTATAGTAATCAAAACAGTATGGGGTATTGGCATAAAAATAAATGCAGAGATCAATGAAACAGAATAGATAGCCCAGAAATAAACCCATGCATTTATGATCAATTAATCTAGTACAAAGATTGAGTGACTACACAGCAGAGAAAGGATAGTCTCTTCAATAAGTGGTGTTGGGAAAACCGGACAACTACATGCAAAAGAATGAAAGTGGACTACCATCCTATACCACACTCAAAAATTAACTCAAAAATGAATTAAAGACTTGACTGTAAGATGAGAAACCACAAAACTCCTAGAACAGGCAAAAAAAGCTCCTTGATATTGGTTTTAGACATTTTTTTTTAATCTGACTCCATAGGCGATAGCAACAAAAGCAAAAATAAACAAATGGGACCACCTTAAACTAAAAAGCTTTTGCACAGTTAAAGATACCATCAACAAAATAACCCACGAAATGAACAAAGGTATTTGCAAATCATTTATCCAATGAGTGGTTAATACCCAAAGTATATAAAGAACTCCTACAACTCAACAACAACAACAACAAATCCCAAACAACCTGATTAAAAAATGGGCAGAGGATCTGAATAGACATTTTTGCAAAGATATACAGACGGCCAACAGACTCATGAAAAGATGCTCGATATCGCTCATCAGGGAAATGCAAATCAAAACCGCCATAAGATACCACCTCACACCTGTTAGAATGGCTACTGTCAAAAAGATAAAAAATAACAAGTGTTGGTGAGGATGTGGGCAAAGGGAACCTTTGTGCACTGTTGGTGGTAATATAAATTGGTGCAGCCAATATACCACCAGTATACAGTATATATGGTGCATAGCCATATACTATGAAAAACATGGAGCTTCCTCAAAAAATTTAAAACAGAATTACCATATGATCCACTAACTATACTTCTGGGTATTTATTTGAAGAATATGAAAAGCATGAACTTGAAAAGACGGATATACTCTAGTGTTTATTGTAGCATTATTTTCAACAGCCAAGATATGGAAACAACCTAAGTAATCACTGATGGATGAATGGATGAGAAGATGCAACATAATATCTACAAAGAAATACCACTTAGCTCTATAAAAGAATGAAATCTTCCCATTTGTGACAACATGGATGAAACTTAGGGTATTAGACTAAGGGAAATAAATCAGAGCAAGATAAACACTGTATGATTTAACTTATAGGTAGAATCCAAAAAAAAAAAAAAAAAAATCAACGAACAAAACAAAACTCAGATACAGAGATCTGAATGGTGGTTTCCAGAGGGGAGGACTATTGGGAGTAGAAAAAAATGGGTTCAGGAGACCAAGAGGTACAAATTTCCACTTTTAAGTCAAGAGGTTGTAATGTACACCATGGGGACTATAATCATTAAGACTGTACTGTAAATTTGAAAGTTGTTTAAAAAGTAAATCTTAAACGTTCTCACAAGGAAAAAGTTTTTAAACTTTGTATGGTGACAGATGGTAACCAGTCTTATTTTGATCATTTCACATACGAATGACAAATCATTATATTGTATGTACACCTGCAACTGATAATGTATGCCAATTATACTTGAATAGTTAAAAAAAAAAAAAGATACCTAGCTCCATCATCAAGCTTAGGGAATTTAATAATCAAATATTTGGATTAAGAGGAAATTATCATGGGGTACTTGGGTTTATTTTAAAACATTTTTAAAAAATTCAATGCATTGAATGTATTTGAAGGTTTTTTGAGACTCAAAAATTATAATGCAAGCCCTTCAGTTATCATTTTGTCACTATGAGTATCAATAATTACCAAATATTTCCAAAATGCAGTTAGGAAAGATCCCATTAAAACCATTAAAGTAGGGGAGGAGTCAAGATGGCAGAGAAATAGCAGGCTGAGACTACTTCAGGTAGCGGGAGATCAGCTAGATAGCTTATCTAAAGATTGCAAACACCTACAAATCCAACGGGAGATTGAAGAGAAGAAGAACAGCAATTCTAGAAACAGAAAATCAACCACTTTCTGAAAGGTAGGACTGGCGGAGAAGTGAATCCAAAGCGACGGGAAGATAGACCGCGGTGGAAGGGGCCGGCTCCCGGCAAGCGGCGGAGCAATGGAGCACAAAATCAGGACTTTTAAAAGTCTGTTCCACTGAGGGACATCGCTAAGGCTTAACACCCAGAGGCTTAACCGGGGTGAAGCCCATGCGGGGTCAGTGTGGCCTCAGGTCGCGCAGGGTCACAGAAGGATCAGGGGTGTCTGAGGGTTGCAGAGCTTGCAGGTATTAGAACGGGGAAGCCGGCTAAAGAGATGGAGCCGAGGAGTGAGCTCACAGCTCGGGGTTACCTTGAACTGGTCGCAGGCTCGGTCAGCTCGGAGCGTGGCCGGAGGCCAGGGAGACAGGAGTAATTGGGCGCTATTCTCTGAGGACGCACTGAGGAGTGGGGCCCCGGGCTCTCGGCTCCTCCGGGCCGGAGACTGGGAGGCCGCC